TGACAACTGACGGAAGCTTAGACTGAAGCCTAAACCCTAAACCCTATTCTCTGTGTCCCATAACTCGCTGAGCTTCGGAGCACGAGATCTACATCCACGAGGGTCTCTGTGGAGAAGCGCGATGCGACGGAAATCAACTCGTGGCCGTGGATGCAATGCTAAGCGGAGGTACAGCTCCTCTGGGATGCAAACCATTCTCAGCTCGGTTTGGGATTTAGGCTTCAGGATTGGTGCAAGTCGCCGTAAACCCTCCTTCAACCGAGTCGCTTGTCACGGGGGCTTGACATGAAGATCCTAATCCTCAAGACCAGAAAACACCTGTGAAAAACTCATAAGAAAAGGGCTCAGTTGACCTCAGTCGAGTGGTATATTTTGAACCGACGTTTTCCCAGACCGCGGGTCGCCAGCATGCTGATGCAGATGTCGTTGGTCGTCCACCCGGATGTTCACTTAGCACAAACCAAAAGCTACAATGGTCTATGAATTTCGGATTTTGTGCCCGGGCCAGGGGCTAAATAAGGGTTGAGGGCTCAGGGTTTGGGGTTTAGGATACCAAGCTACAGTTTCCAACACATGAGCAACAACCACTAGAACTATATCCGCTATAATCAAGAAAAGCGAGGCACAACGGGTCCAGGTAGCGTTCCGGATGTTGGCACACTACGGAAATTCGGTTGCCAAACTAGAGACGAGCTGCTCCAAGAGACGGGCTGCTCAAAGCCACCTCAAAGCTAATGTAGGGGCCTTAACAATTAGAATAGGGTTTTGGGGGTTCCTTATTATAAATATAGTATAATATAATAATATACCCCCAAACCCTACTCTAGTTAAGGCCCCTATATTATATCGTGGGGACAGGTTGCTACAACTCAACTCCCAGAAGCAACCCCAAGACCCCAAACCTTGAGCGGTCTACAATACCGAATCCGCAAACCCTGAGGGCCCGCGCCCTGGCTTGAGGGGAAGATGACGGGCTCTTCCTGCGTCCAGAGATCGCAGTCTCCCTCAACTGAGGATGACTCGGGGCTCACGATTATTCAGGGTTTAGTTTAGGCTTTAGGGTCTGTGGTTGAGGCTTTCGTGCTCAATGCTAGGGATTTAGGGCTTGAGGCGCTTAAGTATGGATCCCCAAATGTTAAATTTGCAACGTGGAGCTATAACCCGGGCTGACGTTAGGGACCCTTGTCATTACAGTGATTTAACGGCTGCGTACAGACTTGACATCTGCATCAAGGATGCCGCGTTAAGGAACCGATTCTACGTTTAAGGCTTAAGGGCTACTCGAAGTTTAGGGGTTTAGGATTGAATTTTGGTTTAGGCTTTAGGGCTTACCTTAACCTACCAAAACCAACTGTCTTGTAGGTTCTTATTCTGAAACCCTAATATGAGATTATTTATACGGCCACACAAGTCCGTATTAGGCCGC